TATATATATATGTGTGTGTGTGTGTGTGTGTGCGTGTGTAAAGATCAGAAAAAATCCATATATTCTAAGCTCTGCCACCCACAAAATTAATAATAAAAATAAATCAATTTTAATGCACATTAACTAATTTTTTTTAATTATGCTGCTCTATTAATGAAACAGGCATCATACTTAATCTACTCAATTAAAATATAAAGTAAACAATCTAGAATTTCTAATATGATTCACAACAAACATTACTTTAAGGAAAGAGCACACTCAGCAATAAAAATAAGACTTTTTTTCTCACACGAAGACTATCAAAGCCTGAGTTAAATATTTTATAAAGTTTGGTAGAAACACATGAAAATAAATAAATTTTACTCTTATTATGCGAAATACCTTAATAGCAATGTGTATTTGTATACTTATCAAAAAATAACTTATTTTCAAAGATGTGCCCTCCAGAAGCTTATCAACAAAAACAAAGTAATTTTAACTCACAATAAGAAAAAAAGGTCATTATTTTGCTTTGTTTATGAGGCAGATGTTATACTAAATCTACTTAATTAACATCTAAAGTAAAAAATGAGCAACTATTTATTTTATGAATTACAATAAACAACTTCTGTAAAGAGAGAAAAGAGAGATAGAACTCACTTACCGACCCATAAAAATCATTACTTTTTCAAATAAAGACTATCACAATTTGCTTAACAGTTTTTCAAAACTATACTTTATCGAAAAATTGGCCGTTAATATATTTTTAAAAATTGAAGAAAATGTTTAATTTGCTCTTTCTTTTCCAAAAAATCCACATCACATAGATTTTCACTAGTGAGCTTGCCACCCAATTGATTGCAAACAAATGCCGTGACGTTATGTGCTTGTTTCCCATTGAAAAAGGTAATTTTTTTTTTCGTTGCCACCGGTTACATAGACATCTCTTTTCCTCTTGCATCGTCAAACTACTACTACAACTACTAATATTTATTTACTAAAAATTTAGTTTCTTTCGGGTTTCCTCTTAATAAACTCGTACACGTGGTTCTCAGGTTAGTCGTTCATTTCTTGTTCCTCTTTTATTCATAATAAATTTTTGATTCATATGTATGTTATCAATTTTTTACTTGATGTTCTTTCTTTCACCTTTTAAATTATAGATTGTTCAAATACCAATCATTTTAAACGTCTACCTACCAACGACCGCCTTTTGAAATCATTTAGATTTTTTTGTGTAAATGCAAGCGTTTATCAGTCTATCTAATTTTGTTCTAATCAACTGTAACATAAATAATTCAGGGGAGATTTCCGTATTCAATCTGTGGCAGAATAATCACCATGTCTTAAAAAACTTCCGGGCAGTGGCCCGCGAGAAACTATAAAAAAAAACAACACAAAAAAGGGACCAATTAGGAAGGTATAACTCGTAGCCACCCCCAGGCAAACATCTACATGTTTTTTTTTTTTTAAAAATTTGCAAGTTTAAAATTTATTTGGCATCTTGATTTCTTTCCCTCCCCTCTATCTCTGGAAATTAATACTCCTACATTTTTCGTTTAAAAATTTTGATTACCAATAAATTGGGTGTGTATATATATATATATATGTATTTAATTTTCAAGAATTAAATAAAACTTGAATTGTTATCAGACGCAGGGCTGCAGTTGAAATTTTAGAATTCTATTTATAAAGCGGATTAGAATTGAAGTTTTGTTTTACTGAAAATTCTCTTTAGTGATAAAATGACAATAAACTTAGCTTTGTAACTTGGTTAATCGATAGAATACTTGTTGTACATCTAACAAATGAACATGTATTGTTTGAATTTTAAGAAAAGTTGGGATTTTTGTTATAACTATGGCAAGGCCAAGCGTCACAAACCTCTTGGCAACCTATCTGTACAGGTCCTCCAGGGGTTGGAGGAGAGAGGGAAACCTGATCATGTCATCCTGACGGGGAGAAGGTGAAGACAAAAGGCAATCTCACAGATGAGAGGACCAAAAAGAATGGTGTAATCTTCATAATATCAGGATCGGGAGTAAATTAAAGTGATAGATACGGAAGATAGAAAATAGTCGCATGCAGAATGTTAACAGGTATAAACAAGTTCAAGAGTGAGGAATGAAAGTTTTTTATAGAAAAATTGAGAATCAAACAGAAACTTACATAAACGTTTATTTTCGGAATCTCTATTAAGTATGCTAATCTATGTAGAAAATGTTAAGTGGCAATTTTTTATTCTAAATCAAAATTGTCGCTAAAAAAATTTATTTTGCGTTCATTGTATATATTAAATATTATGCTTTAAATTATAGCGCCTTCAATGGGACTTAGCGGAAATTTATTACCATTGCAGTTGTCATGCATTCATGGATGGAAAAATATTTTCTACTAACAAAATTTTTTTTAATCTAAATTATTTCGTAATAATAATTCCCTTAAATTATTAAGATGAATAAAATTCAAAATAAATTAAATTTTTAATATAAGAACATTACCCACAAATTTGTTTTTAGGGACACGATATGGTCATAATAATTAGTATTTCAACATACACTTCGGTCAAATAATTACTCGTTATTAACTTTTGCTTAAAATTTTATACATAATACTTAGTCTTCAATAATTCTTTTAAAAGACGTTTTTTCTAGTATCAATTGGCGATCGAAATGGGCTACAGGTGGCATAGAGTAGAACCTTCTCCTCTACCTATGGCATCACTTGGCATGCTTTCCTCATTAGCGTGTGGAGAGTCATAAAAGAAGGAAGCTTGTTAGTTACTGTCTTGATTTCTATATAGATTAAAATCTTTTAAGTTGGGAAACTATAAGGAGCGGAAAACTGCATTAAGCATAGTTCTAAAAGAAAGCATCGTGGAAATTTAAAAAAATATTTTTGTTAATTAAAAACAAAAAATATTAGGAAAAGGAAAAATATTGCACATTCCTATACAACTGAAAAGAGGAGAAGAAAGGTTGACAGGTCAAAGGCATGTAACCGGTCTTTTCCCCAGATGGCATATTCTAGCATTGCGATCATCTATAGAAAAAGGTTCATGGGTTCAATCATTTAATTTCTTTCATAGCTTTACCATAAATCTAGATTATGATAGTTTATTAATACTTTAGCTAAAAAGGATCTCAAGGCTCGAGTGAGTGCGAGAAAAAAATAACCAAGTAATGAATCAATGATATGCATTTCCCTTTCATTAAAATTGCTCTAACGCAATATTTATTTTGGAGATCAAAAATAATGGTCTATATAATAAACAATGTTCTGCCTTCACGGTTTTGACCCCTTCCCCCTTTGTGATTTCCCATTTATTAATTTCATTCAACGGATTACAGTTTTTGTCAAAAAGGATAAATTTTAAAAAGAAGTACGCTTAATCGCCACTGGAGATTGGTATATCCACATAATGGTTTTAAATATCACTTTTTGATGCACTCAATTTTCAGATTCTATAGTATTTCTCAATAGCTTTTCCTGCGGTTATTGTATTTATTCCGCATGGTTTAAGGAAATCCAATATTTTAAATATGATATTACGATACACAAATTTAAAATTTCGGTAATCATTTTTTGACTCGTTTTATTCTTACCAGTTTCATTATAAATCCAAGTGATGTTCGGATCACTCTTTCCCAGTTACAACTACCTATTGCCATACAGTTTTTAAAATCTTGGTACGTTTAATACATCATTCTGACTCTTGATTTGTGACTTGCGTATTTATTTAATTTTTACGTTTTTATGCAATTCATTTTTGTCTGTTTCCTTGTAAAATCCTCAGTTATTATTCAAAAGTTAAAGCACAGTATTAAAAAGTTTTACATTTTTAATACAAAACTATGAATCTTGAAGTTAAATCAGACATTTAAATAATCAAATTTTAATGCACTTTTTTGTACCGATTTTATCGTAAATCTGAAAGATTTAATTTAAGAAGTCATTTCAGCTTGTGGAGTCTCGTAACCTCTGTTGTCCAAGTGAAAGTAGCAAAAGTTGCTGCTGTCAGTTATTTCACTTAAGCAGTACATTGCCTACACATGAGTGACAGGTGAAAGATTGATTCTTTAGTAGTGAAATAGCTTTACAATAATTTTAGTTATGGATAAGGCACAAAAATTACGCACTTTCAAAATGGGGAAAAGTTGCATATTTTTTCATGGAATTTAATGCAGAAATAGTTTTTTTTTATAACTTATGAAAATGGTGTCCGGTTAAGAGAGATAGGGAGTAACATTTCAAGGCAAAAATGTCTGTCTGTGTTAGTGTACAAGAAATTTATGTGGAATCCTTTTTGTTGATTTGCAGGTTTTAACCAGTACCAAGTAATGCAAATATGTGTATATATACAGGGGTCTGTCCAGGCCGAATTCGCTACCGTTTAGCGGTACCTTCACAAATTCAATTTTATTTAAAACGGTAGTTTCACAAATTCAACTTTAGGAAAAACGGTAGCTTCACAAAATACTTTTCCTTAAAATTTTGTTTTTGTATCCGTTAAGAAACATTAAATCTATACTTTTACCATGTCTTTGTGTTAATATTTTAATATAGTTTTTAATTTTTCACAAATTATGTCTAAATTTTCACAAAATAGGTACTTTTCAGAAAAACCTAGACAGACCCCTGATATGTATGCACATTAAGTGTTGGTATCTAGATTATACGTAAATCCGCCTTTGTCTCATATCATTCCCTCATTCTAAGAGAATGGAAGTTTTGCTATTTATGAAGTTAATTTATTTTCTAAAAATGTAATACAGTCGTCCCAACTTAATGGCATATCGGATAACCCTCTTATACGAATAAAGTTTAATGGAACCACATCAATTTATCTGAATTTGAAACTTACCTGTTTAAATGGATATTTGTTATTTTTTGCACCTGCCTAATTGCATAAAGAGGTACTAAAATGAAAACATTTGTTTATTTTTGAGAAGCTAAAATGATATTTCCATTTATCAGTTAAGATAAGGATACAATAGGTGGTCCCTTCAATAGCGACTGTCTGTTCATTAATTGGTCTAAACAGGTGATGGAGGTAAAGCTGAAAAAGTAATCAAATCTTGCTGTCAGTTATACATTGAAGTAAACAATGGGGATTTTACCGCTCTTTAACTTACTTCACTTAAACATAATTTAGAATGTTAAAAAGGTACAGAGTGATTTGTTTTGTGATTCCCTCCTGGTGTGCTGTTAGCTTTGATAAGAAAAAGTTTCAAAGGCCTAACACACTAGTGAACAGTGTCGTGTGCCTTTCTCTTAAATAGAATAATCATTGCCTAATTACACTGAATAACTCTGAGTTAGTTGCAAGTTGAGTGTGAAAAGGGATGATTTGAATTTATGGGGGGGGGGACAAAACAATGCATCTTGGAAGCAATAGATTTCAAAATATCATAAACTGAAATAGTGCATTTATTTGAAATTTCTCAAGTTTTGAGGATTAAGAGAATATAAAAAAGTAAAAATTTAAGAAATTCTTAATGTGTAGGAAAGAAATACGCAGGTCATGAGAGTCTTAGTAGAAACTGATAGGGAAATTCTTATTGTGATAAATTGACGAATTGAACTGGTATAAAAGCAGACTTCAGTCATCAATTATTTTGTAAGGCATCAAAAATATTTTAGTACCTATATTATACTTTTCACTAACATTGATATATTTTTATGTCTTTTTAAATGACATTTGTATTTTATGATACTAACAAAGACAGTTTTAATTATAATTTTTACTGATCATAAAACTGAGTTTATTTAATCAAAACGCTATACTGTATATTAAATACCAATTAAAAAGTAACATTTTGCAGAACTTTGGAATTTGAGGCTGAATATTGCACTCCTCTTTTTATCGAATAAGCCGCTTTATTGCATAGGTTTGGTGAAACCGGTGGTATTCCTTTTAGTGGGGTTGACAGTAATAAGTGTCCTAGTTTTCTCTTATAGGGTAGTTTAAGAATATATCTTGTTATTTTTTTACTTCGAAAGCAAACAATGCCCTCACTAGCAAAAAAAAATGACACTTCTGTTATTCTAATGTTTTTAAAGATTAGATAAAAAAAAATCAGTTTCTCTTTAACTTGAAGAGATTTTAAGAATTGACTAAGCTTTTTTAAAGGAATTGACATATGCTTTAATGCATTCATTAAAATTAATATTTTAGACATATTTATATCTAAAATTTATTCCTTCATCATATTATCATTCCCCCACTTTAATGAAAAAGACTTTTCATAATTTTAGTACTAATATTTAGTGTGAATATTTAGTAATTTTTTTTTGTTTGTTTTGCATAATACCTTTTACTACTGTATCTTATTACAAAAAATTAGATATTTCTGACTCAATTTGCATAGAATGACCCATCTGATTTTTAACATTTGATCTTTTTTTTTTTAGAAATTAAAAAATGCCACAAAATGAACACATTGAACTTTTTCGGAAAAGGCATGGATATCGTTTTGATTATCATGAAAAGAAAAGGAAGAAGGAGGGACGTCGTCCTCATGAGTTGGCACAAAAAGCTAAGAAACTGAGAGGTATTAAGGCTAAAATATACAATCGAGAACGATTCACTGAAAAAATTCAAATGAAAAAGACTCTTCGTATGCATGAAGAAAAGAGCACCAAGAAGCGAGATCCAGAAAAAGTGCCTGAAGGTGCTTTACCAACTTATCTATTGGATCGAGAAGGTCAGTCTAGAGCCAAGATTTTGTCTAACACTATTAAACAAAAGCGAAAAGAAAAGGCTGGAAAATGGGCTGTGCCATTACCTAAAGTAAGAGGTGTTAGTGAAGAGGAGACCTTTAAAGTAATTAAGACCGGTAAACGTCAAAAGAAAGCTTGGAAAAGAATGGTCACCAAAGTATGCTACGTTGGAGAGGGATTTACTCGTAAGCCACCTAAGTTTGAAAGATTTATTCGTCCTATGGGTCTACGATTTAACAAGGCACATGTAACACATCCTGAATTAAAAGCCACCTTCTATCTGCCTATCATAGGTGTAAAAAAGAATCCCAATTCAGCTTTGTTTACTAATCTTGGTGTTATCACAAAGGGATCAGTTATTGAAGTTAATATTAGTGAACTTGGATTGGTGACACAGGGTGGAAAAGTTATTTGGGGTAAATATGCCCAAGTTACTAACAACCCAGAAAATGATGGTTGCATAAATGCTGTTTTACTGGTGTAAAGAATAAAATGATGAAATGTCTTTTGAGTTTCCAAATACTTAGGTGTTTTGTTGTACTTTATACCTTCTTTTTATTTTCAGGCTTTATATGTTTATCACATATATCCTGGCTGGAGACAGTAAAAAATGTATTTATGTGTATATACTTTTTTAAACATATAGATCTTCCCAATGTTCAGAGCTAGTGATTTTTGTTGATTTTTATTCAAATACACTGTATGAACTTTGATTTATGATTAAAAAACGTTGCAAATGTTTAATCAAAATTAAATTTATATTAAAACTAACAATATTTTAGAAGCTCTAACTACCTAAAACGATTTTTCATTATAATGCATAGCAACCATTTTGAAGCAAATGCATGATTGAAATTTAGACTAAATGAAATAGAGAATTTAAGGAATACTTTAACTATTAAAACAAAGTTTCAATTAGCATTCTCTGCTATTGATATTTCTTTTTTTTTCTCTTGATTTTTACAACGACAAAATAACTGTAACAGATTGTGTTAATTTTTTTTCACAAAATTTCTTTATAGAAAATTTAATTATGTCAAAGATACTGTAAACATATTATGAGAAAAAATTTTTTAATAAAAGGGACAGCACAATTCTAATTCTGGGTTATTTAATTTAGTAACAGAGACATTTTCATTCTGTGATTTGAAACTAATGTACACAATATTAAAGATAACATAAATACAATAGTTTATTTGTTGCTAAACTGTATAAAAAGAAACAAAAGTTTTCCAGCTTTCTCATTTCTTAAGTGATTGCACAGTTTAGATTGTACTGCACTCTCAATAGATATAAAAAAACATCAGTTGATTTAAATCAACGATTTTTAAAAAATGACCTATTTGATTTAAATGAAGCTGATTTAAATCAACAAACCCTGCTAATGTTACAAAAAAGTATTATGCCTTTAAACACATTTCTACACAAAATAAAATATGTGCATTTATGAATTTTAATTAAAGCAAACTTATTGTATCTAGAAAATAGTTACATTTCCCAAACATCTTTTTAACATTTATATCATGTTCTTAAAATCTTGCATATCAATATTCTGAGCTTTTGATGCAAAATGAGCTGACTAAGAAGATTGTCATCACCTGGCTAGGATATTTTAGTTTCTCTCAAGTTCAACAGAACAGCAAACAAATATTTGCAATTTATTACTTCAAAAGTCCTCTCTTTATTAAAAAAAATATTTGAAGAAAGTTTTGTTTGCTTTTTATCTTATTCTTAATATAGATTTTCTAATGTATATACAGATATAATCTAGATAGATCAAATATAGATATAAATTTATTCTTTATATGAATACAATAGAATTTTAGTATGAAAAAAAAAATTGTGAACTCAAAACAATTTTATTACATGCAGCTGAAAAATTTTGTACTCAACAAAAATCTTGATATTATATTTTACATTATGAGCAATTATTGTGTTATATAAAATAGCTCAGTTAAATAAATTTAAAGAAAGCAATATTTTGTTGTAAGTTTATGTATTCTATCTTGGATTCACATTTTTTTTTTTCACAATGAAAAAATATGTTCTGGAACTTAATTTTTTTTTGCATAAGTTTGTTTTTTTATACTCACCTTTTTTTAATAACCATATTCTTATGCACAAAATAACATTTATTAACTGTAATTTAAGTAAAATATTAAATAATGTTTTAAGTCAGATGTTGATGCTTGATTAACAGTTAAATTGTATTTTATATTTTCAGCTATTGTAAAATAAAATCGAACTGTTCTATTGAAATGTATCTCAGTATTGCTTAGTGAATTTTAATTACCAGACCGAAGCAAAAATATCACCTTAAATTGTTGTTCCGCAGGAATTCCTTGCAGCAAAACAACAGCAATACGGAGACCGAGTTAAGTTTCATTGATTAATAATTAATTTATATAGCAAATAACAAAACAAATATTTGATAGCCTATGTGTATTTGTTAAAAGTGTGGTCATAAAGTTGAAATTTTAGGGGGGGGGGAGAAATTTTTAAAAATCACTACAGGATATTATTACAGGGCATTATTTAAAAATCACTACAGGATATCTTATTGCAATATTTTAGAAATATATTTATTAAAAATATTTCTAACTGTATTTATTTGTTTACTTATTAATCCTAATGCATTGTGTTAGCATCAATTGTGCACAATGGTTATTTTGGAAAAGAAATTTATTGAGTACAAAATGTCAACTATCCTATAAATAATTATATTAACTTAGCTTGAGCATTTAATAATTTATCTTTTTAGTTATCCTTCATATTTAAATGCTCAAAATATTTAACACCAACATTTTCACTGTGAATGCAACTTACGTAAACTTTCAAGTATGAGTTTTTTCTTACTGAATGAAAACATTTTACTTTTTTTTTCATTATCACATATACAAATTCAAAAAAAAAAATTATACTTTAAATATTAATAGTAAGTTTCATATACTTAAAAACCTGGAATTATCAGGGAATTTTTTTTATACTGGAAAAGTCGGAGAAATTTTGATAAAAATCAGGGAATTTTTCTCTTAATTTAAATTATTTTACCATTCGTTGTATCCACTTTTATTTAGAAGTAATACATCGTAAAAAAGATGATAAATCATCAACTCAGCAATACTTTTCTTGCATTAAAATTATTTTCATTAGAAAATAGGTGGAGAGATTTCTTCGATTTTTACGGTTTGGTTAAAGGGAAAACTGACTATGTTGATTCTTGCATCCTTCAAAAATTAGAACCAAAATGCGGATTTGAATAATAAAATATGAGAGCGATTTTAATTTTGAATAATAAATTAAGAAGGAGAATATGAATAAAGAAATAACACAAAAATATTAGTTACAGCTTTTTCTGTTATCTATCTATTTCTTATTTAAGATTTTTGATTTCCATTTTAGAACAATTTACATATTGTGTAAGATTGAAATTATTGCAACAATTTTGATTTTTATACTCAAATACTACAGGTATTTATTTAAAAAATACCATAGGAAGATGCTGTTTCGTATTACATAAAATATTTAAATGATGGATTAAATATCAATAGAAAAAATTTATTGATTTGTTTTAATAATTATTCTTTGAAATATGTTTTCAATAAATTTTTATGCTGTAATTTGAAAAAAAAGAACTCAATACAAATTTTAAATGCAGTTTTAATCAAGTTACATCAGAATATTTTTTGGAATTTCTAATATTCTTCACACTTTATAAGTGATTACCCTGAAAAAAGAATAAATTATTAATTAAATTAGAGTTACTAGACGCATTTTGAAATATTTTACCTTAAAGAGAATGATGCATTGGAATATTTATATATATATAAACAAAAATAATAAAATAAAAATTAATATAAGGAGAAACTAAAAATGGGAAAACCAATATATATATATATACATAACCTATGATAATGGAAGAGACTTTTAGTTTTTTACATTTTTTTAAAATTTCTCAAGAAATACTTAAGGGATTATTTTGTAACATTTGAGGTGTTAAGTTCATGCAATTTTTCATACTTATCCTTTCATACATTTAATAAGATTTAAACCTTTTAGAGGTTTTGAAGACCTACAATAAATTACGAAGGAAAACATGTGTTTTTGAACACCCTATGTCAGAAAATCAAGCAAAAAGCTTGTAACTTGTATTATTACTTTAATTGTTATTTTTATTAGTAAACAGAAAGTTTCGTAAACATTTATGGTAATTTTTATGAAAATTTCATTTTTTTCTTACGTTTTTTTGCTATAACTTGGAAAATTTTTTAGATTAACTACAAAATTGTTGATTTAAAATTTTTAAAAAATTCGTTTAAAACTGCACAAGATGTAAGTATTTAAGCTAGTTCTTTCATGCTGGCATTTCATTTCGTATTTGGCAACTAATGATTAAGGTTTATTTGAATATCTTAATTTAAAAAGTTTTAAGCAATTTTGTACTTTTATAAAAGTATCAAGTAGTTTTTGTACTTTTAAAAGTAAAGCTCAAAACGATAGGGGGTTATCCACAAATTTTATCTTGTACTATTGTTGTTGTCGTTTGACAAGTGCAGAAAAGTTAAAGTACAAGTCAAATGTGACCGAAGGTATGGAGCACAGCCCTGGCCACATCTCCGACTTTTTCGATCTTGTACTGTTAAACAAGATTTATTAAAAATGAGACCGGTATTGTGGGGTATAACCCCCTATAAAAGTAATCTTTTGCATGCTTTCTTTCTCTATACCACCATACGTACAATATACGTATACCCAGTGTATGTATAATTAATTGTACACTCATATATTGTGCATACTTTGATGCATAACTTGAAAATAGCAATCACAATTATAACTAATTGATTACATTGCTGTAATTGCCTCTAATTGATTAGTGTAATCGACGAATGCTAATTACAATTGCGTTTCTCTTATTTGTTATTTTATGTAATTGTGAATTTAAGACATTATAAATTTGGTTATGAAAATAACTCACGCTAAAAAAAATGAAAAATTTAAAGTTACTGCCACTAAAAATATTTTTAAAATAACTTTTCCATAAAAAAAAAAACTTTTTTTACGAAACCACCATTTTATAAATATTCCCACCCCTACTCCCTATTTCCTATTTAATTTTTGAATCTGAGTACCAGCCTAATAAAAAGGCTTTAGCTCATTCATCAAGTGGAAATTCATTAAATACCCCTTAAATAATCAGAAATTTTCCCTAACTATTTCATGGTTAAAAAACTACTAAAATTTTTTAAAGAAGTATCCCATCAAAATTATCCTTGGTGATTTCCTTTGGCACTACTTGTTTATTAAAATTAAATAATGAAATTATAATCATTATCTAGACAGTTAAATATAAAAAAGTTAAAGATTTCTTTTGCGAACAGAAAGGGCTTATTTCTTTTTTTCCGAATATCATGATACGCGCAATTCTTTTATTATTTAAATTCCAAAGGTAATATTAGAAAATAGTGCCAATACTTTAAAATACAATTAATTTTTTTATTTTATTTATTATTATTATATATTTTTTTTAAGAATTACTGCGTTTTAATGTGGTCCCATGCATGTATATTATCAAGGCCCTAGGCTCATCAAGTGTCTAGCTATTTTGTTTCTACTATTCGTTAATGATTTTGAGAACTCAAATATTGTAAAAAAGTTATACCATCTTTTTGTTTTCGAAAATTTATTTTCAAATTTTAAATAATTTACTTTCTTTGAGTTCCTATTGATTAAATAGGATTTTTATAATGATGATTTTATATATTAACATCTATTTTTAATGATGATTGACATACATTTTTAAATAATTATATTGCAACTCTTCATATGCTGAAAATATGGACTATCATTATAATTATTCCCAATTTAGTTGGTTTAAAGAATGTAATAGAGCAAATATAACAAAACAGTTTTACCTGCCTGCTTTTCCGCCTTTTTGATAACTACGGAAAACAGAAAAACAAACATTTATGTTAAATGAAATAGTAAAAACTAGTGGGCTCCACCCTCTTCTCACTGACGCTCCTCAACTCCAGAAGAATGCTCTGCTAGCTTATATGTTTTTTCTTTTTTTTTTTGCAAATCATTCTCGTCTTGCTCGCCATTAAATTAAACCTATTTGAAATGCTTAAAATCTTAAGAATTTAAATCAGTTACTAAGTTATTGAAATAAAAATGAAAACTAAATTGTAATTTTTCTTTCCAAACAAATATTAGGTTTATTACTTACATACAAGACGAATAAAAAGGACATGAAGCCATGTAATACCAAAAATAAACTGAACATGAAAAGAAATTGCCAGATGCTTAAAACTAAAATAATCGCCGATGCAATTAAGCAAATAAATGCAGGTTAAAAAAATGACCCAGACAAGAGTGAAATTCCAACACTCCTTCAAATTCTTAATTGTCAAGAAAGTAAAGTAATAAAAAATATATATATATATAATCTAGCAAGACAGTTTATCTTATGTTAAAATGTTATATTTTTTGTCTCAAACTGTAGTAAGAAACTTCCTTTTCATTAGTAATTCCTCATCATCATCATTCATTCAATACATCATTTTCATTCTCATTCCATCATAATCATTCCATAATTAGAGGCATCTTGATATTTAAAGTGATTAGTTGAAAATGTCTCTTGTAGATGGATCTCTGAGTTCGAGCATTTATTGAATGTAACATTTCTTGAAACTTGCAGTTTTTGACATTGGACTATAAAGTTGATAATTAGTTGAATTTCTTTTATATCCTTCATAAATTGTTTTGATCCCTTTTGGTAAAAGTTTCTTTCGCAATTGGTCAGTTAATATGAGAATTCGCCTCGGAGCTGAATTTTCAAGTGCTTTAATAACATTTATTTACCAGTCCACAATTCGTGTGGTGTAGATCCAGAGGCCTGACTAATTGGCGCACAATTCATAATATACTGCTTCAGCCACCTCACTCTTACTCAAGATCAAAGGAAGCAGCCTTCTATACCAGAGGGATTGAGAATTTCTTCCTCAAACAGGTTTAAATATAAAACATTTTACGTAAGCGAACCGGTTGAACCATTTTTCTGGTTATGATGATTGAGGTGAATGTTTACATTGAAATCATAACTGTTTACAGACTCCGCCCAGGCGAGCAGACCAACAGACGCGTTTTCTGCTATTTCCATATTCAACTAAACTCAGGAATTGACTTGAAGGTTTAATTCTCGTTGATAGTTCAAATACTAATGATCTCTTTTAAATAGCTTGAGATAACCTTTATTTACTGACTGTAGCAATTCTTATCTGGTTTAGCTACAACTTTTAGATCAGTAAGCTGTTATAATCATTTACGGTCTATCTAGATTGGGATCTTTTCTCAATCATATTTCTGATGTCTTATAACGCATGTTACATTATAATACATGTTACATAATAATACATTATCACTACCCACTACAACAACTACCCTTCAATGTACATAAACACTCATTTTCTATTCTACATTAGCAATGCTACTTTAGCACCCATTAGAACGTGTGCGGACGTCCTTAATAGACGATAAAATAAGATTGCGAATCTCAGACCGAAATTTAGTTCTATTTATTTTTATTCCCATGAAAATTACTTACTATAAACTAATATAACTGTCAAACATTTTTTTGTTTCTAAAACAAAAAGTTTCTCAGGAGTTGTTTAAATTACGTTACCACACATCAAATGTGAAACGCCTTGAATTCTCTTTGAAAGAAAGAAGAGTGACACGATCTTTTTATCCTAGATTTACGGATTCTCATCCGAGGTGATCGAGTCTATTATTTTTCAGCTTTGAGTTCATATTTGCGATATTTTTTGTGCATATATAATCGAATAACCTCGCGTTCTAACATCCGTTTTCATTTGGACGAAAGGCTCGTGATTTCGAACATTGATTGTAAATTGCGTTATTTGACATTGATAGTATTGTTATGGATAATTTTTTCTACTATCTTTTCTCTATTTCTACCAACTTTTTTCTTCACATTTTAATAAAAAGAATCGAGAGTTGGTTCTAACACATGAATGTTATAGTGTTTAGTCCAATTATTTATTTACAAAAATAGCTTTACTTACCATTGTCGGCGATTTCTGTTGTAGCGTAAAATGTCAGTAAACATAAATTTAATGCTTTTGTTAATATACTTAAGCTTTTTTTTTATAAAAATGTACTCACTTGAAAACAATTTTCTAACTGTAAGTTAAAGAGTATAGGAATTATAAGTTTGCAAGTATCATACAACATAAAAGTTTGTTCGTAAATACCCGGTAAATAAGCGGGTGAATAAAGATTCGAGAATAGTCATAAAGCATTTTTAGAAATACTTCTGATTAAAAAGAAATGATATACCCTTTGACATTATTTAATAGCGTTTCTTTAAATAAGCCAAATATACACAGGTTTGTAGAATTTTGGTATGCGATTGGCTAAACGCAAAATTCTACGAGGGAAAAATTTTTCCGTCGAAATGAAATGGCTTGCACCTATGAAACACCACGGAATTTCCGAATTACAGATGCTCATTATTTTTCTTGATTTTAAAAGCTATCTTAACTATACATAAAAATAAATTTTAAAATGCCATATATTTTTGGAAATTATATTTGGGGAGCTTAAATTTTTTTAAATTACTATATATGTTATTATATGTAAAAAAAAAACTGTGGAAAACTGATAATTATCTAATAATTCAATAGTTTTCTTGTTGAAAAGTTATCTTCAGCAGAAAATTTTGAAAATGAACACAAAATAAAGTTATGTGCTTATATTTTAAGAGCTGATTCTGTCAACTATATATTCACACATCTTTGGGGCAGTTATTTGCTTATTCACTTATAAAAAAAGGAATATTACTTGATCTATAAAGATAGTTCTGAAGAGAATTATGAAAGTTTAATTAGAGAATTTCGCCAAGTGAGATAAATGATTCCGCCATCATTCTCTTTCACAGTCTTGATTCAGATGATTTTGAAGCTATTTGTTATATGCCTCTTTAGATGTAGAAAATTAACTACATTTTTAGGAAATAAAGACTATTCAATAATGTAAAATAAATGTTTAATTTCAAATAGTATTAGCTTACTTATCATTAAAAAGACAAAAAAGTTGGAAAAAAATTAAAACGCTTGTTTAGTATTACTTTAGATAGAACGAAAAGCTATTAATTGACGTGAAGACAATTTATAAACATTAGTCGGTTTTCGGAAGGGAAAACTACTTTTTAATTTCAAATTGTTACGACAGACTTGACAATTTAAAAGAAAGTTATGACATTATAGTAATGGCAACGTCATAGGAAGTTAAAAACTAAAACAAATTGATAAAAAAGCACAATAAACACTGATTATGTATTTAACAAAGAAGGAAGTTATTCAAATGATTTATGAAAAGTGTGTATTCTATCATTATTATTCATAACTCCATTTTAAGAAAAACGGCAGCTTATGAATTTCAAGCGGTGATTGAAGTATTTTTTATATTGGTTATTTATTGCAAGCAATGAGGAAAACTTAAAAAAAAAATTTTTTTAGCGAGTAATATATATAATACCAGCTTCCAAGAGGAAATGAAATCTTGTCATTTTTTTATGCATACATATAAATCATAAATATTGAAAGAAGTCTTTCTGTAAATTACAAATTTCTAAGCCACTTTTGAATCCAGAAAAAAAAAAAACTATTTGAAGTCTAAGTTCGTCATCTTATCTCACCTTCTTTCTTTAAATTTAAACTACGCGTTTAATATTTTATGATTTTTAAAGCGTTAACAGTTGCTTTCTGATTTTTTCAAAATTCTAAATTGCACTACCGTAAACCGGGGCGAATCTACCCATCCAGGGGCGAGTCTACCCATTTTAGTTTTATTTAATTTTCACTACTTTAAATTGCAAAGAAATTTTTTTTTACCGACGGAGGACTTAGTTCAGATTCTAAGGAAGATGGCGCTGTAGTAGTTTGATCCGTTTTTATTTATTTGGTGTCTTTTTAACCGACCTGTTCAAACGTCTTTTGAGAGATTTGTATTGAAAATCAGCAAACTTTTAGTTGGTGCTCCGTAAGTATATTATTATTATTACTATTTTCACTTTGGTTAAGTGATAAACTTATCTAAGACTAAGATTACATTAATTTTATAATAAAAAAAAACAAAAAGAATGTAAGTTTTGCTGTTGTAAACAAAAAGCCAGAATTCGCGGGGCGAGTCTACCCATTCGTATTTAGTTTTAATAAAGCATAATAATATAATTTAGAACTTTGTTTATATTAAAATTAAGTCATTTTAAATGAATTTGAGTATATTATTTTAATTCTGCATTGATAAATTTATCATTAATAAGAAAATTTATAGGTTAAATATAAATGTAAATATAAAATATGTTTATTTTACCTATTTTTTCAATTTTTATATTACAAAATTAACTTTTTTTATTTAATGCAAGTTAAATAAATTATTATTTATAAATTATTATTACCTCCCAAAAGAATGGGAAAAGGATTTTTCATGATTCCCAATGTTTGAATTTCGATTTTGTTAATAATCTTTAATTATTATTATTTATTAATTATTTAATTGTAAATTTATATTAATTTTAATTTATTTTTATCAACAATAATCAGAAAAAAATGTTATTTTATAATGTTAATGATTATAAAAACAAAACTGTGATCAAAATGTGATAATCGATCAAATACTCAATTTGTGTTATTTTATGAATAAAAAAATGGAATATATAATAAAGTTATGAATTTTACTTCATAAATATCCTATATAGTAACTAAAATAACAATTTAATAGTAAAATTTGATTATTTACAATGTTAACATTCATTTTAGTAGAATGGGTAGACTCGCCCCATACGAGAGATTTGTCAGCAGTTCTATAAAAATATACAGTAACAGCGTAACTGTTAATATTTTCTAAAATCGATTTCACAGCTTTAAAGAGGGATAAATAGCGATTCCGAAACACCTATTAAAAGCCTTTTTTCTTTAATATTTACAAAAGTTTGACCACTTGAAAGTTGACAAACTGTAAAAATGGGTAGACTCGCCCCGGTTTACGGTACAAGCTTTGTTTTCCTGCGTTTAATATACCATTAATACGAAAAGGATGTTAAGAAGTTTTGTTTTATAGTAAGAAAGTAAAGAATTAAAAAGTAAAAATAATTCTCGAAAATAGAAGGCATAATAATACATACTGTCTTTCGCAAGAGCTATAAAAGAGAATACTTGATTATACTTGAGAATACTTGATTGATACTGAAATAAAACTTATGAAGAAAGAAAAAAAACTTGGTTAATTAACATCTTAAATAACTTTTGGTAATCAAAAGAAAATTGATAATTATAGTTCTTCAACGGTATAAGACTATTGTAAGAATATTTGCTCGATGCAATCTAGCAAGAAGCAAAAAAGCCATTAAAATATTATTAACATATATGCTATGGAACTTATACCCATGGAAATAATCAGAAGGTCGGAATACCACCTAATTCTAAAAGAGAGCCAAAACAATAATGTTATTTATGCCGGTTTAGTATTTTATTTTGTATTTAACTGACTGTTTCATCGCAAAAGAAATGTTTTGCATGAAATTGTAAAATTTTTCCATCCAAAGATTGTATTCGGAAAAGTTTTTTTGTGAATTAGTAAATGTTTATAAACGTACTGTCATCTAGAAGTAAATGAGGTTTAGTGATTGTCATTAGACAGAACTGGTCATTTTATACCTTTTAAAAATAGTACGCCGTTTCGGAAACTCTGATAATGAATGATTAAAATAAGTGAAGAAGACAAGTGATTAAAAGAAGTAATAAAACGAATAAAGGTCGGTGAATGGGGAAAAATCTTCCTTGATCCTTGAATGAATCCTTTAATTTTTTATATGGTGCTTGAAATTTACAATTTTTGAATTTTAATTTTTAGTACATTTATGATTGGAAAAAGTTTCAACTATGAGGGATGAAAGAGAAGATTTATCTATGCAGCTGGAATAATACTATTATTAATACTATTAATTAAACTATCTACGAGAGGCTTTCAAAATATTATACATTTTCATATTTATTAGTATTACAATAAATGTAAATAATAAACTTTAAAACGATGTTTTTATGGTAGAAAACTAAATTTTAATTGCTACTATAGAGTTTTCATTAATTTTTTAAGTAATGGAAAACGCTTTGTCACAAATTAATATGCCTGTTATATATTTTAGTAATCCCTTTTGGTTTATATTTTAAGTTAATCAATAGGTTTAAACGTATAAATTATTTCATGGTGTTAGTGTACACGTATGGGGCTGTGGGGTTACTGTTGACATATTCATAATAAGCTTTCTGGGATAACAATTTGGATCAGCTACTGTCCAAATAACTTATTAGATAGATTTTTCGATTATTTATAATTCGATTTATTTATTAAATTTTTAACGCTAATTTTTCTTCATTCCAAATATCAATCATTTAAGATACATTATGTTTTCTATTCTAGTTATAAAATGTGTAAATCAGAAACGTTCGTGTAACTGGTCAATATGACCTGCCCCTCAGTTATTTATTGATACTTCTTTATAAAATAAAAAGCAGATGGTACTTAATTAATAAAATATTATTTTTTAAAAAACAATAGATTTCAGATAACCCAAGCCATGGGGTCAGTGTATAGAAAAAATATTGTTAAAAAAACAGACATCAAAATATCATACAAAAGCTTATATATTGTTGAAATTTTAATAAATGAATATTATGTTCAAAAAAATGCATATTAATTTTTTTGGCTCAATTTTAAAAAAAAATTTCCATTAATCTTTTTTATTACAGACATTTTCTGATAAAATATAATTACAAATAAGTGGTGTTGTGCATTAAACAAGAAAATTGCAATAAAGTTAAACTTACATCCTTCTATATGATCAACTGAAAAAAAAAGTTTTTACACATTAACCCACTTGTATCTAAAACTTTTTTTCTTCCAACATTTTGAATTTTTTTCTTCAAATAATTGAAAACTTAACATTAAAAACAACATAACTGAACATAAATAACATATTTCTGCTCTTGAAAATTTGAATGCAAGTGCATCATATATAATGTTCATCTTTTTAAGTTTATAAATCATAAGTTTGTCTGAAGTATCGTAGTACCTAACTTTATTATTGCCGTAACTAAAAAAGTCTGAAAAATTTTTTTTATTCTCTGGTTGGATTTAAGGGATTAGAAAATTTGATTGAAAATTGAAGAAACTTTTGACGTTCTTTTTCAAAAACAATTTTTATTAAATCAAATTTTTGAATCATTTTATGGGATTAATAATATTGAAAAAAGCAATTAGTATTTTTTTTTGTAGAAAACTATTTATTTCAGATTATACAATTTGCGTAAAGTATACTCTTTGTGTATAGAGGGTCCTCTAGATGTTATGATTCTCAAATACTGCATATAGTAATATAGTTATAAATTGTGAAATAACTTTGAGATAATTATTTCAGAGATAAAATTCATTAGATTCATACTGATTAGATTAGATAAAATTCATATTAAATTCATTCTAATTTCATTAGATAGTAAATGATGTTTCATTTAAAATAAACATAAAACCATCTAAAATTTGTAAATAATAACTGTTTAATTATATCAACTGTTTAATTATATCAAGTTATAATTATATCCTTTTAGTTTCTCACCGAATTCAACAGAGATCCGAAAAAATTCTAAATATATTTTTAAACCTTTTTATTTAATTTTTACAAATAAACTGATGTTGATTATTCAATCTATTCATCAGAGTGTTTCGAAATGTGTTATATACAAGGTGATAGTCAAATTACAATTTGAGGTGTATAGAGTTAGGTATTTCAGATTCTCTATTCATTCTGATTTTTCTGATGAAATACTAAAACAATTTTGCAGTCAGCATTTTCTGATGGAATGGGCAATTTTGTTAGTTCTAGATTTGATAAATGTCCATAATTGGCATAACTGACTCTAAAAAGTTTTCCTAGCATCTTCCGAGTCGGTTTCCATTAGTTTAAACTGTAATAAAGTTAAATTTTAAAAAAAATCTACAAACGGGTAAATGTGTATATTTAAATTATTTTCAAAACACAAATTGTTTTACATTTTTGATAAAAAAAAAATCATTTAAGTTCTAAAACTAATCAAGCGCTATTTCTCCTAATCTGATAAAGCGATCTCTTATTTTAGTATTTTTTAAAATATTTTCTGAAAGATAAAGCAATATTAATTTTACTCTATCTTCAAAAGTTTGTAAAATTGAAAAAAAACAGCAACATTATTTAAGAAATCGCAAGCCAAAAAGTTTACTCAAAATCTAAAAAGGGAACGAGATCTCTTAAAAAATATACTAAAAATACGTTCATTTCAGAAAACAATGAATGAATATTATTTTATGGAAAAAATGCAAATAAGTTTAATTTTGTAAAGGAACAATCTTACATAACAATAAAATAATTACTTTCAAATTTTATGATTAAAACATAATATCGAGGTAACTTTCGACTTGTAATTTCATTTGTAACTTTTATTGCTTATTTACGGACGGCATTTTTTTTTATTGTTGATAGAACAAATATTTGTAAATGACTGATATGGGATTTGATGTTCTTGTAGCGTGTAAGTAGTATACTTTTTCGTTCGTTAAAAGTGAAATTTTATGTATTTAATTACTTTTTATGTTGTTTTTTATTTAGTTTTTTTTCTTCTTTTTTATGTAGTTTATTTAGTTTTTTATGTCACTTACTTTCTGAATGACGTGAAAATGACTCAAATAAAACAATTACAAAACAAAGTGGAATGAAAATATAAAGATAAAAGTTTTTATTTTTTATAAAAAATTGATACGTATAGTATTAATTTTTTATTATGGAGTTCTTTATATAGATGTTGTTGTTGTAGTTAATTTACGTCGCACTAGAGCTGCACGATGGGCTATTGGCGACGGTCTGGGAAACATCCCTGAGGATGATCCGAGGACATGCCGCCATCACAATTTTGATTCTCTGCAGAGGGGATGGCACCCCCGCTTCGGTAGCCCAACGACCTGCACGCGAAATCGAGCGCTTTACGGTAGAACAGTTTAACGAGGACCAATACCGCACACCCTCGGTCCCTACGCAGGCTGATCCAAGTGGTCACCCACCCGCGCACTGACCGTAGCCAGTGATGCTTGACTTCGGTGATCTCTTTATATAGAAGAAGATTTTCTGTTATAAATTTACTGTGCAGTTTATGATTCTCTTTAATAACGAACTTAATATAGAATAATAGGTTTTTTTATAGTCGAATATGTAGAATAAGGTTCTTTACTATCAAACTTAATATATAGAATAAAATGTTTCCTGTAAAATAATTTTTATTCACTTTTTTTTAATGTTTATTGCTGTTATTAAAGTTACTTCAGAAAATACAACTGTTTATTAAATACTTGGATAAATAAATCACTTACATTGTTTCATGAATTCTAAAAAGAGTCATAAATGTATTTAATGTGCGTTGTATGTGCATCAAGCAAAATTTTCAAAAAAGAGTTATATTGAATAATAATAATAAATTAACAGAAATTTTAGAATTAGTTTTGTATGTCTTTAACTGGCATCTTCAATGCTATTTATAGAAATGGCGTAAAGTTTCAATCAGAAAATTCACAATTATGTGAAAAAATATTTGGAAAGCTATCCCATGAGGCTCTACAATTAAAAATAATTAATTATTTTTAATAATTCTATTATTAAAAATAATTAATTGATTGAAATTTTTATTTTGGTCGAAAAATCTCGTCGAACTAATGACATTTAAAAAGTTTAATAATTTCTCAAAAGTTCAAAATATTTGCTTATTTTTCAGTTTTATATAAATATATATTTTTTTAATTGAACCTGTTCAAGTCAATTGACTTGCAGTTTTTTTCTCTTCTGTTACCATGTTTTGGAACTTTCATTATTGACTTTTACTTATTGACTTTTAATTTAGTATTTCTTTAAATAATAATTTGGCGAGATAGGTAGCGTGTAATTCCGCCCTTTAGATGGGTCAATCATCAAAGATAAAAAAAAAGGAGAAATGCTAAATGCAAACATAACGTTAATAACATTTCAACAACTAAATTAAGAACATCTAGGATTATAATCAAACTCGTGGAACCAAAGAATAGACGTAAAGCAAAGCGCGAAGGAGAGAAAAAACAAAATTTTACGATGGTAATATATACATTTCATTCAAT